TTCCAAAATAATTCTCCGTCCATTTTTATCCCGTTTGGATTCCGTTTGATATTGGTTTTCTGCGAAACATAAAACATGCAACAAACAGGAACTGGCACTGGGCACTGGATCAATATGTTAGTCCCAAAAATAGTATAAAAAGTTGCCAAAAATATATGAAAGTTGAAGAATATTGGCATGGAACAATCAAAAATTATAGATACGACGGAGACGTATCAGCATCCCCAAGCTTAATTCCTACTCGTCCTCGAGTAGGTAAATGATAAAAAAGAATACTTTTTGATGTGGAATGCTACCTAGCATAATCTTGATCATATGTCTAATCATGGCATGAATATTAAGACACGAGTGATTCAAAGCAATAGTCTATCATTTGACATAAAAACAATAATACTTCGAGCGTACTAATAAAGCAATCATGTCTTTTCAAAACAACAAGGGCAAAGCAAGCTTATCCCTACAAAATCATACAGTTTGGCCATGCTTCATTTTCGTCACACAAAATGCTCCCATCATGCACAACCCCGATGACAAGCCGAGCAATTGGTTCATACTTTTGAACGCGCTTCAGCTTTTTCAACCCTCACGCAATACATGAGCGCAAGCCATGGATATAGCACTATAGGTGGAACAGAATATGATGGTGGAGGTTTATATAGAGAAGACAAAAAAGGGAGAAAGTCTCACATCGACGCGGCTAATCAACGGGCTATGGAGATGCCCATCAATTGATGTCAATGCAAGGAGTAGGGATTGCCATGCAACGGATGCACTAAGAGCTATAACTGTATGAAAGCTCAACAAAAGAAACTAAGTGGGTGTGCATCCAACTTGCTTGCTCATGAAGACCTAGGGCATTTGAGGAAGCCCATCGTTGGAATATACAAGCCAAGTTCTATAATAAAAAATTCCCACTAGCATATGAAAGTGACAACATAGGAGACTCTCTATATGAAGAGCATGGTGCTACTTTGAAGCACAAGTGTGGAAAAAGGATAGTAACATTGCCCCTTTTTTTTGGACAACGTTCTATAATGATGATCATCACACTTTTATTTACTTACAACTAAATATTACAACTCGATACTGGAACAAGGATATGACTCTATATGAATGCTTCCGGCGGTGTACCGGGATGTGCGATGATCTAGCGTAGCAATGACATCAAAAAATGGACAAGCCATGAAAACATCATGCTAGCTATCTTACGATCATGCAAAGCAATATGACAATGAATGCTCAAGTCATGTATATGATGATGATGGAAGTTGCATGGCGATATATCTCGGAATGGCTATGGAAATGCCATGATAGGTAGGTATGGTAGCTGTTTTGAGGAAGATATAAGTAGACTTATGTGTGATAGAGAGTATCATATCACGGGGTTTAGATGCACCGGCGAAGTTTGCACCAACTCTCAAGGTGAGAAAGGGCAATGCACGGTACCGAAGAGGCTAGCAATGATGGAAAGGTAAAAGTGCGTATAATCCATGGACTCATATTAGTCATAAAGAACACATATACTTATTATAAAAGTTTATTAGCCCTCGAAGCAAAGTACTACTACGCATGCCCCTAGGGGGATAGATTGGTAGGAAAAGACCATCGCTCGTCCCCGACCGCCACTCATAAGAAAGACAACCAAAGAAACACCCCATGCTTTAAATTTGTCACACAACGGTTACCATACGTGCATGCTACGGGACTTGCAAATCTCAACACAAGTGTCCCTACAATACACAACCACCCACTAGCATTACTCTAATATCACCATCTTTATATCGCAAAACTATTGCAAGGAATCAAACATATCATATTCAGTGATCTACAAGTTTATGTAGGATTTTATGACTAACCATGTGAATGACCAATTCCTGTCATCTTTCTAAATAGATATAAGTGAAGCAAGAGAGTTTAATTATTTCTACAAAATATATGCCCACATTCTAACAAATATAAGTGAAGCTAAAGAGCATTCTCCAAATGGCGGTTTTCTATGTAAAGAGAAAACAGGCAATCCAAACTTCAAATGATATAAGTGAAGCACATGAAGCATTCTATAAAGCCATACTCAAAAGATATAAGTGAAGTGCAAAGATAATTCTATAAATCAACCAAGTACTATCTCATACCAGCATGATGCATGAAAGAAAAATGAAAACTAAATGCAAAAGACGTTCCAAGACTTGCACATATCGCATGAACGAAATGAATCCAAAAACATACCGATACTTGTTGAAGAAAGAGGGGATGCCTTCCGGGGCATCCCCAAGCTTAGATGCTTGAGTCTCCTTGAATATTTACTTGGGGTGCCTCGGGCATCCCCAATCTTAAGCTCTTGCCTCTCTTCCTTTTCCTCATACCGAGACATCCTCGATTAGACACTTCATCCACACAAAACTTCAACAGAAAACTCGATAAGATCAGTTAGTATAATAAAGCAAATCACCAGTCTAAGTACTGTTGAAAACCAATTCATATTTTGTTTTTGCATTGTGTCTACTGTAATATAATTTTTTCATGGCTTAATCCACTGATATAAATTGATAGTTTCATCAAAACAAGCAAACTATGCATCAAAAACAGAATCTGTCAAAAACAGAACAGTCTGTGGAATCTGAACATCCACCATACTTATGTTACCCCAACAATTCTACCAAAATTAGTAAAAATAAGCAAGTTGTACAGAAAGACAGTTCAAAAAGAATCAGAACCATTTGACGTTCCAGTTAAAAATGTAAAATCGCGCACTACAGCAAAAGTTTATGTCATGCACCGTACAAACCAACAAGCATTGTAGACATCCTAAAGGCAAACCTTGGCACATTATTTTTATAATACAATGGAATTGTAAAAGGGGATAATTATTTCTGATGAAAAGTTTCTGTAATCAAGATTCACAAAGTTTTCGGGAGCATGAACAAAGTTCAAGGCTAGCTCCCACTTCAACAATGCTTGTCTTTCTCACTTTCACTTTCCTTTTTGAAAAGTTTTAGGTTCCCCTATTTATTTTTTTGTTTTTAAACTATATAAAAGAACTCAAAAGAAATAAATGACTCTCTAAAACTTCCGGGTTGTCTTCCTAGCAGCGCTTTCTTTAAAGCCATTAAGCTAGGCATATAGTGCTCAAGTAATGGATCCACCCGGATCCCAAGGTATATCAAAGCCAATTTTAATTAACAATGATTTGTAATTTAGTAGTGAGCACAAAGTAACATATATCATGCAACAACGAAGCCTAACTCTCTTCCTATGCATTGGCATGTCATAAAAGAACAATTCATGCACACATACTAAAGGCCAATGCATAGTATAAGAAGTTTCTTGCAATTTTATCATATTGGAAACTTAGAGAGGTGGAGATATAGTTCCTCTGTCATAATAATTGCAAGTAGGAGCAGCAAGCACATGCATATTATATCTATCAAAATCATCATGTGCAACGGTAAAAGGCAACCCATTAATATAATCCTTAATAAGCACAAACTTCTCCGATAAAGTGTGGTAGGGAGAATTCAAAAAGATAATAGGATTATCATGCGTGGGTGCAATAGCAACAATTTCATGTTTAACATAAGGAACTATAGAAAGTTCATCTCCATAAGCATAATTCATATTGGCATCTTGGCCACAAGAATAGCAAGCATCATCAAAAAGGAATATTTCAAGAGAATCAACGGGATCATAGCAATCATCATAGCAATCATCCTTCGGTAAGCACGAAGGGGAATTAAACAATGTATGAGTTGAAGAGTTACTCTCATTAGAAGGTGGGCACGGGTGATCAATCCGCTCTTCCTCCTTTTGTTCTTTGCTCTCCTCATCATCTTTTTCATCCAATGAGCTCACAGTTTCATCAATTTCTTCTTCCATAGCTTCCTGCAAAATATTAATCTCTTCTTGGACAGCGGGGACTTTCTCAATAAATGCATTAATATTGTAATTGTATTCATAATTTTTATAGAAATATCTAAGTATAGCAAGATTTTCAGGCCTATAAACATCATCATCTAAAGCTTCATACTTTCCAAACAAAGATTCAATTTCATAAGCAGCCTTAAAAGAAACAAATTCTTCTATTTGTTCCACATCATAGTAATCATATCTACCATTAGCATAAGAAGCTAAGGTTTCATTATCATTGAATTTGCATGAAAAGGGAAGGTGTGGAGCCTTCACCCTAAAGCAACAAATAATATCATATCTCAAGCATAGTTGACGAGCATACCAACGCAACATACTAATTTGATCTCATAATAGTTTCCCTTTTTGTGTAAAGCGATAATCCGTAAAGTATTCACGTTGATCCAACGTGTCTCCCATTATAAAGTTGAATGGGGTTTTCTCCAGATTATCAAAGTAGTACATAATATCTCTCACATAATGAGAATCGAGGGTTTTAGGAGCTACCCCATCTCCATGAGTAGCAAGTACACCTATTTTTTTTGGTATTTCGTGTTCCATATCCATAACTAAAGATAGATAACAACTTAGAACAGCAAATAAAAATTACTTAGTGATAAAGCAAACAAGCACACACGAGAATATTCACCCCACGCTATGACTCTCCGGCAACGGCGCAAGAAAAAAGTCTTGATAACCCACAAGTGTAGGGGATCACAACAGTTTTCGATAAGTATGCGTGTCGAACCCAACGAGGAGCTAAAGGTAGGATAAATCTTTCCCTACTAATAAAGCACAGAGTGCTTCTGCCCGTCCGTCGTCGGCACTTTTCCAAAAAAGTCCCTCAGTTTCTGAGAATTCAACCCGCAGTCCCTGTTTTAGTATGGGTCTCTATATAACGTTTCATTTTGCAAAAAAAACCCTGTACTCATTTGAATTTCACTCGCTGTCCTCCCGTCATCTTATCCATTCCTCCTGCGGCAACGGCGGCGGCTACGCCCATTCCGTCGTGCGCCGTCGACGGCCGTCGCCGGCGTGTGGCCACGGCGAAGGTGGTCGGCCCAGACGGCTCTTTGGTGCAGTTCGCGGCGCCCGTCATGGCGGGCGAGGCGCTGGGGGACGCCGCCAGCGCGTCGAGCTTCCTGTGCAGCGCCGACGAGCTTCGCTTCGACGCGCCCGCCCGTGCGCTGGCAGCCGAGGAGGCGCTGCAGCTCGTGTGGCTCTACTTCGCGAGCTCCGCTTCGACGCGCCCGCCCGTGCGCTGGCGGCCGAGGAGGCACTGCAGCCCGGGTGGCTCTACTTCGCGCTGCCCATGTCCATGCTCCGCCGGCTGCTCTCCGGGCAGGAGATGGCCGCCCTCGCCGTCAAGGCCAGCTCCGCGCTCGCCGTCGCCAGCGGTAAGGGGCGGAAGGCGGCTCGGGTGGCGCCTCGCGCGGGAGGATGGAGTCCCTGACGAATTTTTGCTCCCGTGCTTTATTTGAATTTCTGACGGAAATCCTGCTCCCTTGTCCTTCTCAAACTCCTGCTCAGGTCTCCTTCTCAAACAAAGAAACCGTCCCGACCCGGATTGGAGTTCGCTGCTATAAGTTGAATTGTTCTTGGCCCGAATCATGAACCAGGCCAGCGCCACCAGCGAGTAGTGCACCGTCGCTTATGCTCCGCATCATGTCGCCTTTGAGTACGCTGGAGGAACAGGCACCGAGTTCGCCTTTGAGTACGCCGGAGGAACCGGCATCGTGTTCGCCGGAATTCTTGGTCCAGAGAAGCACTCTGAGTCCAACGGTGGCTACAACACAGGTATGTGATGCCTCGACCTCCCTCAAAAACAGCCCTGCTGTTGCCCCTTCCCTCAAGCTTTTGTGTGTTCAGAGTATCTGTATTGTTTGATTTTTTGCATGCACTGTGGCTGGACATGATGTTGGCAGTGTATATCTTCTAGGCCAATTACTGAATAAATCTGACCATGGTTGATTCGGCAGTGTACTGATTGCTTAGTATAGATTGAAGCAGCTTATGCATTGGTGGGGCTGACAACTGAAGGAACTGCCCTGTTGTTGCCCCTTCCCTCTGGACATGATGTTGGCAAATACACTAGAGATTATGCTGCAATCTAGCATATATCTTCTAGGCCAATTACTGAATAAATGTGACGATGTTTGATTCGGCAGTGTACTGTTTGCTTAGTATAGATTGAAGCAGATTTTGCATTGGTGGGCCTGACAACTGAAGGAACTGCATCCTCGTGGTGGCGCCGCGTTCCCTACTTTATTGTCCATGCTTCATAACATTTTTTCAAGAATAAAAATCGTGACATGCATCCATGAGCACTCCTCTTGACTTGATTGTGTGCTGTAGGGACTGAAAGCCTACCAGTAATTGGGGTGGTCTGCCACTGAACATCCTCTCCAGCAACACCACAAAATACATACAGTTCCCTTTGATGTTTACATATAGCTTAAATTACAGATGTTTTTCCATATATTTAACTTCCAGATTGTATATGTATTGATTGTTAGATAAGGTAGTAAGATGTGACAACTATTGGCCATACAGGTATCTGAAAGTGGTACTTGAGCCATATTTCTTAGTTACACGGTTCTCATTCTACCATGGACCCCAGCTGTCAAGTTTACCCAATCTTTTTCTTATCGAATTGTTATTTTAATTCTCTCCGATTATTATTTCTGTGACACACGCAGACGCACATTAATGCAGAAGATAATACATGTCAATATTCCACAAATCCTATATAATTAACAATAGAAATCATGTCTGGAAAATTTGCTGAACTTGTGGTGTACACTAGAGATCATGGGCTGAGACAATGCAATAGAAATCATGTAGAGGCTGGAAAATTTGCTGAACTTGTGGTGCCTGTGTTCTTTCTGACAGTAGTTGTTTTATGGTGCTTGTGAGGCGTCGACCACTGGTGTTACTTCTTTCAAATTACAATGTTTTCTGATTACCCAGATGAGTTAATTCAGAGGTTACTATCAAATCAATGTGTTCTCAGGTTCAGTATTAATTAGGGAGTTGCTTTTGGCACAGTAGTTCAGAGTTTTCAGATTTTAATTAGCATGCATCAGGGTAATTCCTATTTAACAAACGGTTGCCAATTAATTGGGGAGTTGATGGTTAGGATTGAGGAGTCACTGATAATTAGCCTGCTTTTAAGTATCAGTTTGCTAAACAGGCAAATGCCTATGGGATTGTTGCTGGCATAGTAAGATACATCAATAGGTTTCTTGTTTGTTTGCAAGCACTGATGTGAAACTGCTATCATGACGTCATGTCGAGTTCTTTGGATATTCAGGCTTATCTCTTTATTCTAACGATAATGCATTTTTTATAGACCTGCATGTAGGATAATTGGTTTTGATGTCTCTGTTGTGTGTGCACTTGCAGGTCCCAAAGATGCCTGATAGAACTCGGGTGGAGGCCAAGGAGATTCGGCTCTCGGACATGCCACCAGTAACACTTGATGATAGCAACATGCACACTGTAAGTTTCCCCCTGCAAATTGCATATTTTGATATATGTTGCTGCTGTGAACATTTGTTGTTGTTAAATAGAGCAAGTCAATTTAGTTCAGCACTCAACAACTGCATCTACCTTTATATATACCCTAAGTGGGTTTTCTAAAGCAGTTTATTTATGTTGTAACTGCAGAAAACAGATGACACCTCCGAAATGAACATTCCAGAGGATTTCGATAACCGACCTTCAAAAAAAGCAAAAAATTTTGAATCAGGTGTTTTGGAGTCATCACCAATGTCACCAACTATGTCAGCATCTAATCCAGTTTCTGAATGTTTTGAATCGATTGTGCCTGAATCAGAAAATCAGATAGATCATGATCCATTGCCATCACCTTCTAGCTCGACATTAACTCATATTTTAATATTACATGATGTCAAGGAACCAGATCCAAATAAAGGGATCAAAGTTGATGAGACATATGATTATCTCCCACAAGGTATTTATTTATTTATTATGTATACTTTCGTATTTTATATATTCTTAAAAAAAATTATTTTATGCAGACTATACATTGACCGACCATGATCTATGTGCTCATATAGCAATAGAATCATCTTTGAGTAAACAATTGCTCGTGGAGATAGATGGAAGTTGTGTCTTGCAAAATGAATTGATGTGCCTGCTAAATGAAAAGGAGTGGATAAATGATGATGTAAGTACCCTTACTCAAACTGGAAAAATATTCTAATCACTTATATCTATTAGTAATGTATTTTTAAATTTCAAAATTATAGGTGATCAATGCATATATATGTTGTATAAAGGACCAAATACATCTCCAGAATGATAATAAAGTATATTTTGAGAGTCCATTTGTTACCTCACTATTTAAACGAGATGGCGAACATGGAATACAAAAAGATAGTGCCTTCATGACAGAGACTGTCGTCGAATATATGCAACATGACATGGTAATATCCATATTCATAATTTACATGTTCTATGTTTCATACATTTTCATCTATTATTTTCCTAATTATTTTTATTACAGATTAAACTTCCAATAAATGCCAACAACACACATTGGTATTTAGCTGTTGTGAATACAAAAAAACGTGAGGTTCAAGTACTGGACTCATTGTGCTGGGACTTTGACCGTGATGATCTCGCTCATACGGTTAGTTACAAAACCATTTTTAATATACTTCGCTAATGTGTATCATTTCTAACCATTATTTTATTTTTAGCTACGAGGAGTACAATTTCATTTGGACCTTCTTAAAAGTCAAAACTTGGTAAAAGACAATTGGAAAGACGTTGATCTCACTGAATGGAAGATCACAGAACAATTACAAAAGGCAATTCAAACAAACAGTTCTTCATGTGGTTTGTTTATGATCAAATTTATGGAATATTTCACCGGATGTGCACTATCTTACCCAATTACACAGGTATATATCTTTTTAAAATTAAAAAGTATGATAATTTCCCAAAAAGTATGTTATTTTTTAAATAATTTACTAATAATTCTTTGTGTTGTACAGGAAATGATTACTTCATTTAGGTTTAAGTTAGCCAGCATACTATTATGCTGGAAAACAAACACTGCAGCAAGGACTACAATCATTGAAGAAAGTAACGATGACACTAATGGAGATCCTGATGATGTTCAAATATTAGAAAGCCTAGATGATATAAAAATATCAAAGAAAAAAATCCCATTATCTGTTGAAAATAAATACAGATCACTAATATCTATTCTTTCTAATATGAGTGTACATGAATTAACAGCTGGACTCTGTAGCTTCATTAAATCAATCAATTACACTGAGATTTTAGAGTAAGTCATTTCAAATTAGTTTTGCAATTTTAAATTATCTTACTTATTTTCTTAATGGTTTATTTTATTAATTTTATCATTATCAGGAAAGTATGGATCCAAAGTTCAAAGCCATATCCGATTAGCTTGTCTCTCAGAAAACTACAAGAAATGCTGAAGGATGATTTACCCATGGACAAAGATTGCTTTAATTTGGTTGTACGGAAGATTATGTTTGATGACATCCAAACGGCACAAAAAACAAAACATTCGATAGCAAAACATTATCTCGACATGAAATTTTGGGTATGTTTTTATATTTATTATATACTTTCTTTTCTATATTCTAATTTTAAAATACTTTTCTAATCAATTATTTTGTATACTAGATGACTACTGATTTTGGACGGCACCCAGAATTCCGTAAGAAGTTAGATGCTGAACAACTAGCAAATACTGTTCGTAATTGGCCTGGTATAAAATATAATGTTTCAACATGCAAAACGGTAAGAGCACTTTTGTATACTTTAGGCCACAATTTTTTATTACATCTAATATGTAGCCTATTTCAGATTCATATTCCAGTACAATCCAACAGTGATTTCATTCTATTCACATTGGACAAAGATACCAGAACTGTGTACATTTTGGACCCTGCTCCTATTAATCCCATGTACCGATGGAACCCACTCGCAAAATATGTGCGCAAAATTATATGGATTGCAGAACACTTACAAAAGGCAATGTCAAAAGCATGCCCTGGGTCTATATGGAATGAGGATATTCTCCTATGGCATCAAAAAATCCTAGATGATATTCCGGTTTACAACAGGTATTTCTCAAGAGATGAATACTACATATTAAGTATTTGTTGTTTTGAATATATACAAAATTTTAATTACTAACATATATATTCTTATATATAAGGGAACTGTCCGGTTATGTTGTTCCTCTGTTCATGTCCACATGGGAAAATGAAAGACCACATTTGCCAATTTTAAAGGTAAATATCGCGACTATATAGATCATTAATATTATAATTACACATCTCATTCTAATGTTATTTCGTGTACAACAAATGTGGGTGTACAGGATGGATATGAACTCAGAAAAATTATTTTGGGCCAACTCCTAACATTCAAGGACAATATAAGTGAAGATAACATGCCTGCCGGTGTACTTGAATTCATCAATTGTATCAGGAAAATCCAATCTAAAAGTGGTAAGTGAAATAGTACGATTCGTAAGATTTCATAATAACAAATTATTTTTTCAAGATTGATTACTTGGTCGTGCTAACTTCCAATTTCCTCAAACAGGACTTGCGTGCTATTTTTGAAAAGAGAAGCTTCTCTGTTGGCTGGCATCTCTGGTAGTAGTTTTAGATAAGTAGCAAATGAACCAGTTGGGTCAATTACAAATATTTGGCTGTAAATGACTTTCAGTTTCTACCTTATAATGAAATGTAGACATGTACTCTTTAACAGTATTGTGATCTTGATGGTGGTCTTATGTATTGGTTGAAATTTCATGATGTTTTGTAGTGCTCTTATTATTTTATTTCCACAAATATGGGCCTCAGATTGTTGATTGCTTAACTGCTTCTGGGATGTAAAAGAAAAAACACACAAAAAATAAGGATCGATCCACAACCGATCCGGCGCTGGGATTGGGAGGATAGGATCGAGGGAGTGTTCTGGGGCTCCCGCTCCTTATTGGGCCGGCCAGGCCGGTTGATCTTTACCCATATTCTCTCTCCTGTCATTTCCTGTGGCGTGCATGATTTATACTTAGGTCCACAAAAGAAGTTTCATCGAAATTGGAGAATTTTGGAAAAAGTTTTGTGGGCCAAACTTGTAATTGAAAATGCAAGGGATTTTGGAGAAGGTTGGAACGGAAATTGGAAAAGCAATTAAATAAAATACAAGCAAATATCAAATGATTTTCCAAAAATATCCATAGTTTTAATTTGGCGTGAAATATTCAATCATGATGAAATGTAAAAATAAAATAAAATAAACATTATAATGATGAAAAAATTGGTCTTGGGTTGTTACAACACCGATCTTACCTTATCTTCTTACGGAGGTTCAATCTATTCATGAGAAATCGTTAATTTCAATAATCTTCTAAGAAACTGGCAGCTAAATTTGATAACAAAACTTTATTTGATATATAATTTTTTTAATAACAAGTTAGAGGAAAATAGCATCTATTTTCATAAAAAATTAGTACGCAACCCACAAAAAAAATTACATATAAAAAATAATGGTAGTATAATTATATACATCACTTGGCCTAACGTTGAAATTAGCATAACACTAAAACCGATTATTTAATATTTTCTCTCTTTTCTCTATTTCCACATATCAACAAAAATCGTCGATAAGGATCGGGTAGGGTAAGGAATGGGAAAAGGGTGTGTGATACTACTCAGTCTCATTCTTATATTATGGACAGAGGGAGTAATTTTTTTTCTCCCGTTGCAACGCACGGGCCCATGTCCTAGTATTCCCTAAAGTTCTATCGACCACCGATACAATTCTACGCACGCTTGACGTTCGCTTTACCTATAACAAGTATGAAACTTGAAGTACTTTGTAGGTGTGATAGGATAGGTTTGCAAGATAATAAAGAACGTGTAAATAAAACTAGGGGCTATTTAGATAAAGAAGCAATAAAGTAAATATAGCGAGTGTGGAAAAGTGGTGGCAGGAGTTGTGAAAGTGTCCCTAAGCAATTGACTACGTTACTAGACCGATAGCAAGTTTTATGTGGGAGAGGCATAAGCTAACATACTTTCTCTTCTTGGATCATATGCACTTATGATTAGAACTCTAGCAAGCGTCTGCAACTACTAAAGATTCATTAAGGTAAAACCCAACCATAGCATTAAATCATCAAGTCCCCTTTATCCCATACGCAACAATCCCCTTACTCGGGTTTATGCTTCTGTCACTCAAGCAACCCACCATAAAAGAATCATGAACGTATTACAACACCCTACAGCGGGAATCCCTCACGCTTGCACGACACGGAGGGCACAATAGGACAGCAACATAACCACAAGCAAATTTAATCAACCATAGCAATTCATCAACCACCAATAGGACAACGAAAATCTACTCAGACATCATAGGATGGCAACACATCATTGGATAATAATATGAAGCATAAAGCACCATGTTCAAGTAGAGGGTACAGCGGGTTGCGGGAGAGTGGACCGCTGAATATAGATAGAGGAAGGTGATGGAGATGTTGGTGAAGATGATGGATGTGTTGGTGAAGATCGCGGTGATGATGATGGCCCCCGGCGGCGTTCCGGCAGCAAGGAGGAGAGACTTCTTCTTCCTTGACCTTCTCCATAGATGGGAGAAGGGTTTCCCCTCTGGTCCTTGGCTCCCATGGCGTGGGAGGGGCGAGAGCCCCTCCGAGATTGGATCTATCTCTCCGTTTATGCGTTCTCAGATTCTACCCCTTCACCGTTTCTTTAATATCCGGAGATCCGTAACTCCGATTGGGGTGAATCTTTCGCCCAGATTTTTCTCATAAATTAGCTTTCTTGTGGCAAAAGAAGAGCGTCAACCGCCTTACGGGGGGCCCAGGAGACTCCAAGGCGCGCCTGCCTCCCTGGGGCGCCCCCTATCTCCTGGCCCCCTCAGGCACCGTCTCACGTTGTTTTACTTCCTAAAAATCATAAATATTCCAAAATAATTCTCCGTCCATTTTTATCCCATTTGGATTCCTTTGATATTGGTTTTCTGCGAAACATAAAACATGCAACAAACAGGAACTGGCACTGGGCACTGGATCAATATGTTAGTCCCAAAAATAGTATAAAAAGTTGCCAAAAGTATATGAAAGTTGAAGAATATTGGCATGGAAAAATCAAAAATTATAGATACAACGGAGACGTATCAGGCGGCTATCCGGCGCTTCCCCCACAGGCGGCCTCGACACCGCCTTGGCCACAGTGGCCGACGCCGCTCGCGGCGCCACCCACGCCGTCAGCCGCCGCCCCGGGCCCGCAGGGGCCGACCTGGTCCGCGCCGTCCCTCCCGGCTGCAACCGTGCTGGTCCCACCACCGCCCCCGCCCAGCCCTAGCCTGGGCCGGTCCTCACCGAGCGGACTACCGATCCAGGTGGTCCGCTTTCCGTCATCACCGTCTCCACTTCCAGGCTGGCTCCACGGGCCGCCATCGGCTTAAATGGAGGCCCGACCGCCGTCGGGTTCCTAGTTGCAGCCTGAGGCGTCGGGCGCCACCGGGAACTATGTCGGCCTTCCCACCATGGACCGAGCGCCGTTGTCAGCCCTCCGCACCGCCGAGGCAGTGGGCCAGGGCGCGCCACACCAGCAGCTGCCCCGGTTCGCCAAGATCGACATCGCCTCGTACGACGGTTGGGACGACGCGCTTAACTGGCTCAACCAGTGTGACCCGTTCTTCCGCTGACAGCGCACGCCCGCGTCGGAGCGCACTTGGCTGGCTTCCTACCATCTCCGTAGGGCCGCCCAGACATGGTACTACGCCCTCGAGAAGGACGAGGGCGGCATGCCCCCGTGGGATCGTTTCCGCGAGCTGTGTCTTCTTCGTTTTGGACCACCAGTACGCGTGAGCCGCTTGGCCGAGTTGGGCCGCCTGCCTTTCACCTCCACAGTGCAGGATTTCGCCGACCGCTTCTAGGCACTAGCGTGCCACGCGCCAGGTGTGACGGCCTTACAGCGGGAGGAGCTCTTCGTCGGCGGCCTTCCCAACCACATCCGCGTGGACATCGAGATGAAGGGGCCCCAAGACCTTCAGACGGCCATGTACTATGCTCGGGCGTTCGAGCAGCGCGCCCAGGCTTTGACGCGGCCATCCGCGCCACGTGGGGGCCGACAACCCCCCCCCCCCGGCCGCCTCCAACAGCACCGGCGTCGTCCACCGTAGCCCCGGCGGCCACCCCGGCCCCGACGCGACCGTTCAGGCGCCTTACTCAGGCGGAGCAGCTTGAGCGCCGGCGCTTGGGCCTGTGCTTCAACTGCGATGCGCCCTATGCACCGGGCCATGTCTGCCCGCGCCTCTTCTACTTGGAGATGACGGACGAGACCGAGGCTGACACCCCGGAGGATGGCCTCGGCGCCCCAGCTCTCGCGTAGCCCGCACCGGTACCCGCGCCCGACCTGGCCACCGCCCTCGTGGTGTCGCTTCACGCGCTGGCCAGCATCCGTGATGAACGGATGATGCTCTTACCGGTCATGATCCATTGCGAGCGCCTGGTGGCCCTCCTGGACACAGGTTCCACGCATAATTTCCTGCCGGAGGCCACCATGCGGCGCCTTGCATTACAGCCGACCGGCAAGGAGCAGTTGCGGGTCATGTTGGGGAACGTAGTAATTTCAAAAAATTTCCTACGCACACGCAAGATCATGGTGATGTATAGCAACGAGAGGGGAGAGTGTTGTCTACGTACCCTCGTAGACTGAAGCGGAAGCGTTGACGCAACGTAGAGGAAGTAGTCATACGTCCTCCCGGTCCAACCGATCCAAGCACCGTTACTCCGGCACCTCCGAGTTCTTGACACGCGTACAGCTCGATGACGCACCCTCGATCTCCAATCCAGTAGAGGCTCCGAGGGGGAGTTCCGTCAGCACAACGGCGTGGTGACGATCTTGATGTTCTCCTGTCGCAGGGCTTCGCCTAAGCACCGCTACAATATGATCGAGGTGTAATATCGTGGAGGGGGGCACCGCACACGGCTAAGGAACGATCAATGATCAACTTGTGTGTCCTAGGGTGCGCCCCTACCCCCGTATATAAAGGAGGGAGGGA